TTTACACATTTTGTTTTCCATTTTGTGAGTTTTTGATTCATAAATGAAACAGCAGCAATTTCATTCACGGACATTGCTTCGCAGACGATGGTCATCCCCGAGTACAATGATGGTAAGAGTGGCGACCATCCAGACTTGAGCCGTGACCCCCGCAAGGCCAATGAGATTGATATATCAGGAAACAGCAACACAAGGAAAGGAGGGCAAGCAGGAGAGGAGGCAAAAGTTCCACAGAGAATAATTGTTGATATGCGGGAGTTTTCGGAGTGAACTTCCTGCTCTAATCCATAAGAGGGGCATTGATATTGATCCGGTTACAATAGAGGTATGTGTTCATTTTTTAAATTTAATATTTTTTTTCCAATAGACTGTTGCTGGATATTCTGTAGAGCTATACTTTATGAAAACATAATTAGATTTGACCAAAGTATAAATCTATAGCAAATTGTTATATACATTTCACAGCAAGACAACCTGAGTAGAGGACTAATCTGACATTCAATCAGATTTGCAGAAAAACCTTGCCTGTTTGCTGATTTTCTATTTGGGAATATAGCATATGAAGTAGTATATTAAATAAGAGAACTCTATTCCCTAATCTTTTTTTCTAGGTTGGTGATTACATCCTGACTCCAGATGTGTGTGTAGAGCGGAAAAGTCTAAGTGACTTGATTGGATCCTTGAATTCTGGCCGACTGTATAATCAAGCACAGGCAATGACAAGATATTACAAGAAACCCATCTTGCTCATTGAATTTGATCAAATAAATCATTTTCATCTCCAGGTGGGTTTGTTTGGAAGCAAAATATATGAATAATAATTAAGCTTACTAGAAGAATAGTAGAGAGTTAATGAACATTTCTGTAGTGCACTACATTACAAATTCTCCTTTCATGTTGCATAAAAATATCTGTGTTGTTATTGTATTTTTTTTCCAGTTATAATATACTTTATGCAGTGTAAGGCAGGATGTATATGAACATGAATTTAAATATTTTTTATTTTTTAGTTCAGAAAATGATAATCATAGTGTAGGACCAGTGCAGAATTTGTGCCTCTTGGTAATAATGCTCTTCTTTTGTACTTGTTAACAGGGTCGATTCTTTTGTCAAGTGATGCATCTTCATCAGCTAAGGATGTTGCTGCAAAACTGCAACTGCTGACTTTGCACTTCCCTCATCTTCGGTTACTTTGGTGTCCATCACCATATGCTACTGCTGAGATATTTCAATTGCTCAAGGTGATACTTTAATTACAATAAAGCAATGATACATATTTATTTAAAGAGACATTTATTATTATTTTTTTTAAATCTCCTCACTTATCATTGTAAACCTTGGAAAAAACTAATTTTAATTGCCCCATAAAACCACAAGACCTAGAAATAGTGTTTCTAAAAACTGGATCTATACACAACTTATTTTAGTAGATAGTGAAATGAAATAAAATCTCTCTTCCATGCAGGAAGGAAAGGAAGAACCTGTTGTAGCCCAAGCTCAAGCCATCACTGCTGAGACAACCCAGAAGTAGATTCTGACAAGTTCAATCCTCAGATAAAAGTAAGTTTTACACCAAGAACTTGTATCCATATAACACTTGATTATTAATATAAATATATCTTTGAGAAGTAATAGCAACTTTGGTACTCTAGATTCTTCATGAATAATGGTCAATAGTGTAATAATAATGTAATAATGGTTATCCTGTATGTTCATAGGACAATGTATTATGTAAATAATTTTATATTATGTAATTTGTAATTTCAGGACTTCATATCAAAACTACCTGGAATAACAACAAAGAACATCTATTCTGTGTTGAATAAAGTCTCAGATCTATCCGAGCTACTGTCGCTCTCAAAGGACGAACTAACAGAGATCTCGGCAACAGTCGCAATGCTCAGGCTCTTTACTCAGGCCTTCACCACTGCATGAAGCCCCCAGAAAAGGAGGACTTGAAGAAGGGCAGCAAGTTACTAAAAAGGGCCTCAAAAGGTTTAGGAAAAATGTGAATGCTCTGTAGCTGTGAATTCAGAGAAGCTTTAAAATCAGTGATATATCTAGTGAAATATGCATTGATCAGAGCTCATAACATATGAAGATGTGCATAATATATAAAAAAGAAATATTAAGGAAATGGAGTATATGAACAAATGGGTAATATTAAATAATTGTGATTATGTACTTGTGACTTTTAGAGAATGTTGTAAATATGATTTATTACAACTGCAGGTGTGTTGCACAGAGTAAGAAAAGAAGACAGTAATCAAACAAAAGCTGGTTGAGATCTTTTGTAGGACAATTTAATAACTCCAAGTTCTATTTTTCTATGAATTCTGAAATGACGGTATTTCCAACAGCTAACTCCATGCTTATTAATTTATACTGACTCTTGTACATTTGACATGTAATATTTATCAAATAAACTTGACAGTGCAGTTAAATGTTTTATTTGTATAGTCTATATTTGATTAAGCATACATACATGCATACAACACGACACAAGCACAGGCACATGCATACACACACACACACACACACACACACAACACACACACACACACCACACACACACACACACACACACACACACACACACACACACACACACACATACATACACAACGCACATATATACTGGTGAGTAAAGGGATTGAAAGAAATATTTCTGGATCAGTCATCAAAACTTACAGAACCACTGTGGAAAACTGATGAAGAAGAAGTTTGATACTAATCAGGATGGTGCTACAACTAATAAAAAATGAAAATTTTAATTCTGAATAGATTCAATAAATGTGCGCATTTGTTTTGTAATGTGTATATTTTTGTTTATGTTATAGTTCTTTAAAAGCTAATTGTCCTAGTAAGAAATGAGAAAGTGTTCATGTGTCAATAAGAATGCCCAGTGTTTCTGGAAGTGATTTTTTTCTTCCTTGTAAATATCATCCAAACTTCAAGCTTTCAGTCCCAATTTATGTAATAAAGAAGTGATAGCTCCATATATTGTGTATACGAAATGAGGATCTTACATTACATTTTACAAATTTGTATTAAAATAAAATTGATTAAAATGAAAGTCGAATTTTTAAAATCACATATGATCCTTTATGGATAAAACTAGATTTCTGGAATATTTATGTCTGGGTTATATAAAACACATATAAGATTAAGAGAAGTTTTATTGTGTGCACATAAACCTGAAATGCAAATACACCTATAATGTTTGTACATTTTTTCTTACCTGCAAATGCATTTTTGGTAATAACATTTAAGATATCAATACAGCAACTACATATATCATTCATAAAGAAAGCCATTCAGTAATTGCAATGGCTGAATATAATACTGGTGCTAATGAACTGTCTGCACACTGGCCCCAAACACCCCCTCCCTCCAGTTGACCTTCAGAGTAACGCGTTCATTTCCTGCTACACTTAATGGCTCTTCCAACATCAGTATGCTCTGGTTACATGGGGAATCCAGTCCTCTGCTGGACAAAGTGATGGCAGGACTGGGTACATGAGATTCAGGGACCAGGGCCTGTGGTGCTATGGATTCTGCTCTCTCCAAGGATTCGGAATGGGTAGCTGAGGAGGCCCCACTCATAATAAACCAGTAGGGGAGGCCAGTGATGGTAGAGGCCTCTGGGATAGTGATTTCTGTTCTATACTGGACTATTTCCCCTCCAAGAACGAGCATGCTGTCTGATGTGCTACTCCGGATCTCTTCCATGTGGCCTGCAGCTTTAGTGTCTGCTGTGATGAGTGAAAGTCTGGTGACCAGTATGGGGTCTTGGATAATGGGAGAATGTGGCAAGGCTTCCAGAGGTGTATCGAGGTGATGCTGGGTCTGGGATGGTAAAAAGAAAGATATCTTTTATTACAGACACTGTGTTAAAACATGGAAAATAGACACATTATATAAATATAAAGAAATACAAATGCATATGCATATATACATTAAATACTTACTATTACATA